TTACCTCCATGATGGAGGAGAGGTTCTCCCAAAATATTCTTTGTTTCACTTATTCTGCTCGCCATTCCTTTGATTTTCTTATGAAACCTAATGTAACCTCCTCAAAATATTTTTTTTTTTTTTTTTAAAGATCAAGGAAGGCAACCAACACCATCCCTTCTGCTGGTTCTACCATAAATCTTTGGCTTGCATTACACGTCTGTCTTTAATTGCAAAAAAACTTTTTATCTTATTAAATTATTTAGGGAAAAATAATTCTTAGTAATTCTAAATAATTTGTCAGTATTTTGGCCTAATTTTCGTATATAGAGTACAAATATGGGGGTGTGGATTTGGATATGAAAGTGTCCTTCAAAAAGCCTGACTCCATATGCATTTGAAATAGGGATTTCATGTGGGGGACAATATCTAAACAGACCCTGTAGTGCTGATATATCATTCCATCCACTTGGAAAGTGAGATAGTGATCTCTGTGCAAAATCTAGTTCAGTATTTGAGTAAACAAAATAAAAAAAAGTAACTTTTATTTTTAGACTTTATTGGTTTGATCGGTATTGGAAAAATGGTATAATTTATATAAGGATTCAGAGTTGCTGGCAAAACTGTCTGCTTTCAATTATTTGTTAAACTTTTAAACTCATTATTGAAAAGCAGATATGAAATATTGTTCACAGAGAGGACTTTATGTAATGAATTTGCTAATTATTTATCAATCGTATATCCCTTGATACAATATGCAGCTTTTACTTTCCTAGGCTTATAGACTATGTATATTATTGCAATGTGTTTAACTCATAGCGAGCTTTGTTCACACATACAATGTTAAGTAGAAAAGCACAGCTTTATTCTGACTTCGGGATTAGGTGGGTAATTTACCCCCTTGTTAATATTGGAGCCCCTTTCTTTCAGGATTTCACCAACCCCATTTACATTTTATTCTGTTACAGTATTTTTCCATTTCAGCACCATAGAAAAGAGTAATGTTCTCTGCTGTGATACCGGACATTAGGTAGACTCACTGACATTATATGGATAATAGAAACTTAAATGTGATTTGTTACTTGTTTTACTTGTACATGTTACTTGTATTAACCTTCCTTTTAGCTTATTAGCATTGTTTATACAAATCTAGAATGGACTTGAAAGAACACAAAAACATGCAAATTGTGTCTCAATTTCTTTTAATCAATAATACTATGGATCGTAAACAGATATATCCCAATTACCAATAGAGCTGCTCCCGCACTTCATGTGTACTTTCACTAGAGGGTTATACTATCAATTTAGATTATCAGGCTGCCCAGCCAGTAATAAATAAGATTTACATACCTTATTTTCCCCTGGGTGTCTGTCTTACCATGGCCATACTGCATCCGCTGGGTGAGGTCATTAATACTTATCTCAGCCAATCCAATACTTTTCCATATGTGCCAATCCATATCTCCTCATGGAGATGCATTGACTCAATACATCACTTTGGGGTGCATTCTGTGTCCCTATGCAGAATGTGGAGATGTTGAACGTCGGTCCTGCAATCTTTGCAGGACCTCGTCCACGATGTTCCTCTAGTGGCTGTGCAAATGACAGTCAGTAGGTAGCATTAGGCAGTGGTGTAAACATTGCACTTTCTCAAAAAAGGCAATGCTTACACTACTCAGCCTGCAGTGACATTAAGTTGTAGTGGTTATGATGTCTCAAGTGTCCCTATAACAGCTATTATTAACATTAAAGCAACACTCCACTACCAAAATACAAAAAAGTGACATTATAGTCACCAAAAAAACATTAGTTTAATGATTCAGTTTTGGTGTATAGATCATATCATGCCCCTGCAGTCTCACTGCTCAATTCACTGCCATTTAAGAGTTCAATACATTTGTACAGGCCTTGTCACATCTCCCTGCATGTGACTTACACAGCCTTCCTAAACACTTCCTGTAAAGAATCATCTAATGTTTATACTTCCTTTATTGCAAATTATTATCTCCTGCCCTGTTGATAACTTTCTGGACCCTGCAGGAGCCTCCTGTGTGTTATTAAAGTTCAATTACAGAGCAGGAGATACAAACTTATGAAGTAAGTAGCATCTTATTGAATATAAACCCATGTTTTTCCATGCAGACTATGTCAGTCACTGCCAGGAGAGGTGTGGCTAGGGCCAGGGACGTATTAGCCGCGAGGCAAACAAGGCATTTGCCTTGGGCGGCATTTTTCAGGGGGCGGCAAAAAACGCCGCCCCCCAAATGCCCAGGGCAAATGCCTAGTTAGCCTCGCGGCTAACAGACATTCTGGGCGCCAGTGGCTGCAGCGCTGGGCGGGCGGCTGGCGAGGAAGCTCTTCCCCTGAGCTGACTGCTCAGCTCCCTCGCGGCCGCAGAGTGAGGCTGGGAGCCGGAAGATGACGTCATCTTCCGGCTCCCAGCCTCACTCTGCAGCCGGCGCGCGAGGGAGCTGAGCAGTCAGCTCATAGGTAGTGCACCCTCGCCGCCCGCCCGACCTGCAGCCACTGGACCACCAGGGAGAGAGAGACCTCCCCCCCCAGCACTCCCAAAGGTAAGGAGGTTGGGGGGGGATTTAATTTAAAAAAAAAAAAGTTAATGTGTGTGTGTGTGTCTGACTGTGTGTGTGTGTGTGTGTGTGTGTCTGACTGTGTGTGTGTGTGTCTGACTGTGTATGTGTGTGTTTGTGCCTGACTCTGTGTGTGTATTTGTGTATGTGTGTGTGTGTGTGTGTGTGTGTCTGACTGTGTATGTATGTTTGTCTGTGTGTTTGTGTCTGACTGTGTGTGTTTGTGTGTGTGTGTGTGTTTGTGTCTGACTGTGTGTGTCTGACTGTGTGTGTGTTTCTGTCTGACTGTGTGTGTGTTTGTATCTGTGTGTGTGTTTGTGTCTGACTGTGTGTGTGTTTGTGTGTCTGTGTGTGTTTGTGTCTGTGTATGTGTCTGACTGTGTTTGTGTCTGACTGTGTTTGTGTCTGACTGTGTTTGTGTCTGACTGTGTGTGTGTCTGACTGTGTGTGTGTGTATTTAGAAGGGGGGGCGGGAGGAAGGGTTGGGTGGGGGTGGCGCGGGGGCAGGGGGGCGCCTGAGTTTTGTCCTGCCTAGGGCAGCACAAAACCAGGATACACCACTGGCTAGGGCTGCAGAAACAAAAGTGAATTAACTCCTAAATGGCAGCGATTTGAGCAGTGAGACTGCAGGGGCATGATCTATGCACTAAAACTGCTTAATTAGGCTAAAGTTGCTTTGTTGACTAGTCCTTTAAGTTACATTGTTTTTCACTAAGCTTGACCTTATCTCATTAATTGGGCTCACATTCAGCCAAACATTGCTGAAAAAGAATGACACAGAGAACATGAGTATTTCAGAAATAATAATAATAATAATAATAATAATAAAAAAATAATAATAATATAAAATAATAATAATGAATAATAATGTATTTAACCAGGTACCATATATTTACTTTAATATAGTAAGTAGCTAACACTTCAGTTAGAATGATGCTATTTAAGACATCCTATGCTGTAAATGACCTTTCTTTGATAACATTACCATTATTTTTATCGCTATTATTTTTTTACATGTATAAATATAATGTTTTACTCTTAGCACGCAATGATAAAAGCCATGTGCTTGTTATGTAATTAAAAAATGAGCAAATTTTAATTTCAAAAAGATCAAAGATCAAATAGAGTATCATGCAAAATTAACAAATCAACAATATTATACAAAGGTATCAAAGTTAATAAACAGAATCACTTGTTTTGGAAATTAAATATTTTAAAATACCTAATTATGTAGTATAATGGACCATCCTACATAGTGATTTAAAGGTAGCATGTTTCGAGTCACACTGATCACTGTACACTAAAATAGATATATCAATCTTGACTCTGAAACATAATGTTTGTTTTGACATTTTTTGGATTAAACAATTCATCAAACCTCAGGCTTACATGATTCTAGAAATACTCCACAAAATAAATTTATTGTATATTATTGTTTTAATGGGATTCAATTAACTTTTAAAAATGCTGATTCTTTTAGTTTGTGATTTGCTTTTCAATGGTTACAAATACAATTTTAAACAATTTAGTGAAATTTAGAAATGTTATCATTTATTTAAATATACCAAATGGAGAAAGACTGTATAGACAAATCAGAGTAGTAAATATTAATCCGAAATGGCACAGCACAAATATAGTTTCTAAAATTAGAAAAACTAAAGAAATAAGATACATTTATTTTTACTTATCTTTTGCATTACACAATCATGTTACAGTGCTGTCGCCCACCCGATGTATTCCCTATCAAGGGTAAATAAGTGTAGAGATTTAGATAACACCCTTCCCTGTCTCATTAGAATGTTACCTTTTATCCCCTTAAGGACTGGACTGTTTTTGCGATGTTGTACATTTGCGACCAGGCATATTTTTACACTTTTGTGGTGTTTGTGTTTGGCTGTAATTTTCCGCTCTCTCATTTACTGTTCCTATACAAATTATATATTGTTTTTTTCAGGACAAAAGGGGCTTTCTTTACATACCATTATTTATATAATCTCATGTATTTTAATTTAAAAAAAATAAAAAAATATGATGAAAAATTGAAAAAATACATGTTTTTTGACTTTTACTTGAAAAATCTTTTACTCATCTACAAAAGCGAATGAAAAAAACTGCTAAATAGATTCAAAATTTTGTCCTGAGTTTAAAAATACCTAGTGTTTACGTGTTTGTTTGCTTTTTTTTGCATGCTATAGGGCTATAGGTACAAGTAGGATATTGCGGTTTCAAAACATACATTTTTAAAATTTATCAATAGTGACATTGTAACACTATTATCTGTCATAAATCTCTGAATAACACCCCACATGTACATATATTTTTTAAAGTAGACAACCCAGGGTATTCAATATGGGGTATGTCCAGTCTTTTTTAGTAGCCACTTAGTCGAAAACACTGGCCAAAGTAAGCATTCATATTTGTTTGTGTGTGAAAAAAGTAAAAAAAACTAAATTGAACGCTAATTTTGGCCAGTGTTTGTGACCAAGTGGTTACTAAAAAAGACTGGACATATCCCATTTGCAATACCTTGGGTTGTCTTCTTTTGCAAATGGTATGCCATCATGGGGGTAATTCTCATTCCTGGGCTACCATACGCTCTCAAAGGCAACGTAGCCAACCTGGCCATTTTCAATGTAAAAATATTTGACCCATATATTTGACCTTGTAACTTTCAAAAATGCTATAAAACCTGTACATGGGGGGTACTGTTTTACTCGGGAGACATCGCTGAACACAAATATTAGTGTTTAAAAACTGGAAAACGTATCACAACAATTATATCATCAGTAAAAGTGCTGTTTGTGTGTGAAAAATGCAAAAAAAGTAACTTTCACTGACAATATCATCGCTGTGATATGTTTTACTGTTTTGAATCACTAATATTTGTGTTCAGCGAAGTCTCCCGAGTAAAACAGTACCCCCCATGTACAGGTTTTAGGGTGTCGTAGAACGTTACAGGGTAAAATACAGTGCTAGCAAATTAAATTCTCTGGAATTTCGGCCTGGGTTGGCAGGCAGGTCCCTCAAATTGCAATCAATAAAATTACTGAATTATGTAAAAATATTACATAAATACGCACGTAGAATTTAAATATATATGCATATTTATATAGTTTAAGTCTACGTGTATATTTATATAATTATTTATGTAATTTTGTATATGGACATATGTATATTTCGTATTATTTTTATTTATTTATATATACATAGATATATATACAAATTCATTCTAAGTGTATTTTGATATAAATATATATATATTAATTTTAAAATACAGTTAGAATAAAATTTCATATAGATATATAATTTTTTTAAAAATTTTTATTATTATTTAAAAAAATTATTTAATTTAAATTACTTATTATTTATATTTTATAATAATATATATATACAATATATATAGTTATTATATATATTATATATATACGTGTGTAATTTAATTATAAGTGTATTTTTATATTAATATAAGTACATATTAATATAAAAATACACTTAGTATGGCATTATATATATGATATATAGACATATATTATATAGATATAATATATGTCTATATATCATATATACACCTATATAGTTATTATTATTTTTTTTATTAACATTAACTTTATTTTATTTTTTGATTTTACACTAGCAGGGAGACTGCCTGTCAGCACAGACAGTCCCCCTGCAGGCAGCACTATGGACACCTATTGTGACCATGTGATCGCTGTGTTAAGCGATCACATGGCCACAGGGGTCCTAAATCAGTGTGGGGAGACTGTCTGGGCTGCAGGCAGTCTCCCCACAACCGGAGCCACGCTGATCGCCGCCGGGGGAACGACGGCGATCAGGTAAGTAACGGAAACCGTTAGGACGGTTCAGGACCGTCATCGGTCGGCAAGCCAAAAATGCCGATGACGGTCCTGAACCGTCCTCGGTCGGGAAGGGGTTATATGAAACCAACAAGGTAATTTGTTAATGTCAGACTCACCTACAAGGTTTCGTCTTAACATGGCAGGTGAGCTAACAGTTTTTTTTAAATTAACATAGGGATTTTGGATAGTGTGCAAGTAACATTATTCTATTTGTTTGTTTTTATTGTTATTACTGTGGCTGAAGCATACTATAGTCATTGTTGTCGCCCAGGAGTAGCGGAAGTTTGAGCATATATTGAGTTTGTATATATATGTTTTTTACAATATAAAATATAATATAAAGTTTGAACTTTCAGGTACTGAAAGTTCCTTTGATATAAATTTGAAGATCATGAACATCATACGGGAAGATCAAAGTCAAGAGATGTATTTCCATACAAACATGGTTAATCAGGTGTGAATGTGCCTCAAATTTTCAAATGTGAGGAAGGCTGTGAAAATCCAATTTGTGTATTCAGTACATGTAACTTCGGGTGACATTTGGAAATTGCCCTAAAATTGCACAATGGATGAATTTAATTTGTATGTAAAAAATTAATCCAGATCATTATTAAACTCAGAATTCCCCTAAGCCTGAATTTGTGCATTTGTGTGCATATCCAAATATTTCTTCCCAGTTGGTTTTTGCAAGAGTAATAGCAGAAATGTTCTGGTTGCAATTTAAGAATACATGCAGAATGCATATTTAAAGGTTTTTAATGCATAAATAATAATAAAAAAAAAAATATATATATATATATATATATATATATATATATACATACATATATATAAATAGATGAAGAACGTAGGCTGCACTTTCGAACTTGTAAATTTCAAACAAACGTGCTTTATTCCATAGATAAGAAAATCAACGTTTCGGTCCACACAGGGACCTTCATCAGGATCAAGTGGCTCAAATACTAACTGCAAAAAACCTCAAATATATAGATATAACAATTATGCATAAGTGACTTACCCATATACACCCAGGTGTGGTGTATAATTCTCGGCGTACCCTTCAACTCACCGCGCATGTGCGGAAGTATTATGAAGAGACGTTAACCCACGGTTCACACGTGATGATGCAATACAGCGTCATTGTCATAGCAACGTTGCCAACGTCTCTATGGGAACCACTGGAAATAAAAAAAAAGTGAATATTATTAACGTGAGTGCCGAAAGGGTGACCCCAGTAAATAGATAAAATGGTGATAGTAATGAAAAGGAGTGATAATAATAATGTAAAAAATATATATCAAGTGATATGGCACACAGGTCGCATATAAAACTAGGTATAACATACAGATCATGTATATAGAGCCCTACAAGTATACAGACTGCATATAAAAAATGCAACTCCAAACTTTAAATACTTGCTGAAAAGTAAAGATTAATTGTCGTTCAAACTTGATCTATTGAGTATAAATATTTAAGATCCAAAGTACCCTTACATCTATGATGAATTATCCTAAATTCTGAGAAATACGAATGTAATTAATGAAATTAAGACTAACTAAAAAATTTTAAAGAGCTAGACCTATTTGCATAGTAATGAAATGCATACCTATTGCATAATTAAACATTGTTTAAATTAAAGGAACTATTGCACAGGTCACAGTAATGTACATCTAGATGAACAGTTGGTATTATGCGGTCTGCTATGCCCATCACAAGTATATTACAAAGATTTTTTTTATGAAAAGGTGCATGTAACATCTGAGACTTTAACTCGGTCCATGTGAATACGTTCTAACTGTAGAAACTGTAGATTGAGATAAACTTATCTTCAAATTAAATATCTATGGTTGCAAATAACACAATATATAATAAATATAAACCCGATTAGCCACATACGGTAATCACATGCACCCCTTCATTTTAAAACATAATTAGAGCAAGTGGAGCTGACATTACAAGAATGAATGATATGATAACATCTCGTTAAGTCCATGAGGTGAGACAGTGTCCAGTCTAAAAATTCAGTAAGTATATTTTCCCTCTGTTTCCTCTCCTTCGTGGCTCCGGAATGTGGTCTATTGCTGTAAATTTAAGAGATGTAAGTGGATGATGTTGGGCCAAAAAGTGCTTTGCGACTGGTTTGTCACTTTCTCCATCTCTGTAAGCTGTATGGATGTTGGATCGGTGACCCTGGATTCGTTCGCATAAAGGGGTTTCTGTCTTGCCCACATAGGATAAACCACATGGGCAGATAAGCTTATATATAACGTAGGGAGTTTTGCATGTGATCGTATATTTTATACAAAACTGCTCATTGGTGTGTGGATGGTTAAAGGTACGTGATGGCACCATATGGCTACAGGTCACACAACCCAAACACCTGACACTTCCACGTATTTGTGTCTTATCAGCTTGCATGTAACATTGTATAGGATCCGTTTTGCCTAGAATGTCACAGAGATTTCTGTTACACTTATAGCATATAAAAGGCTTATGTTTAAATATAGGTGGAAGGGAGGTGTCCTGTGCCAATACACTCCAATTTCTTTGAATAGTATTAGAAAGTTTAACTGCCGTTTCGTTATATGTTATGGGGCAAACCAATCAATTTTCTGTTCTTGTCGAAATTCTTGGCTTGAAATCTCTTGCTTGTTGTAAGGCTTCATCCAACTGTTTGTTTTTATACCCCCGGTTTAAGAACTTTCTCTTCATGTGTAGTAATTTTTCATCTCTGATGACTTCACTTGAATTATTGCGTATTGTACGGAGGAACTGGGCTTTAGGTAAAGAAGCCTTCAAATGAGTGTTACGATCTGTGGGGTTTGTATATAGAGAATATTGTATACTGTTGTTTTCCACCCAAATTTGTAGGTCCAAGAAGTGTATTTTGTCGATGCTAATTTCAGAAGTGAATCTTACTGGACTGTCCAATCCATTAAGGCTATCAATCATATGTTGCGCTTCTGGTATAGATCCAGTCCAGATAATGAGCAAATCATCAATAAATCTGTAGTATTTGAGGATTTTATCGCTATAAATTGGAAGTATATTAGTAGTTTCATACATATACATAAAAATACTAGCATACATGGGGTCCATAGCAGCCCCCATCGATGTTCCCACTATCTGCAAAAAACAATTCTCTTCAAATCGAAAATAATTGTTGGATAACTCCAAATCCAATAACTGGAGGGTATATTCAATAGGCGGACCCTTATAAGACTTGGAGTGAGTTAACACTTGCCTCGTAGCCTCAATGCCTTGTATATGAGGGATGACTGTGTAGAGGCTTTTAACTTCCATGGTCATTAACACAATCTGTTCCCCTCTCAACTGAAGATTTGTTAAGTTCTTTATTAATGAAGGGGTGTCCTTTATATAAGTATCTAACTCCATAACTGGCTGTTTAAATAGTGCATCCAACCACTTAGCAATTGGTTCCAACACCCCCCCACTGCTGAGACTATAGGACGTCCCGGGGGATGTATTCGATCCTTATGCATTTTGGGGATGGTGTATATTACAGGTATTTAAGGATACTTGTTGTACAGATATTGAGCTGTTTTAGGTTCACTATACCCGGATAGAACACCCATATTCAATGTATCATCAATTTTTCGTTGTATGTCTTGATCTAATTGCCTATAGGTGAGATGACATTGTAGTTGTTGCCTTATTTCTTTTGTGTAGTCAGTATACTGCATCACCACGATTCCACCACCCTTGTCTGCCGGACGGATTAAGTTGTTTGGATCATCTGCAAGGTTTTGGATGAGTTTTTTCTATTTGAAAGTCAAATTCTGATATTGTCTCTTGTTTTTGATGATATGATCTCTGGACTCATTCATAACCGTAGATACTTCAGAGATGGATTGTGGGAAATGGGATCAAAGGTAGATTTAGACCTTATGATGTTAGTTTGTGAATTACTTGGTGGAT